TATTTCTGCACAAAAGATCCTCAATCACTACAAAATTTCAATAATTGATGGTTAGTCAATTTTTAGGTTTTAATACTACCGCTCCGACGACCGTTCTGACGACTACTTCAATTCCGACGACTATTCTGGTGACCGTTCCGACGACTTCTCCGATTTCGATGACCATTCTGACGACTTCTCCGATTCCGGCGACTATGTTGATGATTGTTTCGGCGACTACTCCGGTAAATATGACATGTTAGTATTGATTTGTGACCTATAAAAAATGATTGTGACTTGTGAACTCAAACTTGTGACAATGATCTGACCTTAACGACGAATTAATTAGACACGGTTAACTATCTAATTAATTGATCATACTGATCTGTGACCGGTCTATATTCATTTGTGACCTATACAAAATGACCGTGACTTGTGAACTCAAATCTGTGACCAGTAAACTGCAACTTTAGTAACTCATTTATTTATTGCAAATCGATCACAGTTTATCAAATTATTGGTCACAACTTATTTTATGGTCACAAATCAAGAATTTTATAGGTATTTCTCGGTCACAAATAGAAAATTTTATAAGTCACGACTTATTCATCGATCACAAAATCAACATTTTTATTGGTCACAACTCGATTACAACTTAATAAATTGTGAGTTATAGTAACAATTTTTAGGTAACATATTATGTATCGATGACAAATCTAAGATTTTATTGGTCATAACTCATTTATTTTATTGGTGACATTCTCAAATTAATTGGTCACGCATTATTTTTTGTCACAAGTCGATTACAGTGAGTCACAATCACAATTTTAATTGGTCACACTCGATTACACGCACAAAATAATCACAGTCACCTCCAACCCCATATCGTCGGCACGCCCGACACCCACCGCACGCACAAACTAATCACGACCACCAACAATCACAGGTCACCAATAACCACTCACAAAATAATCAGTGTCACCTTCAACCCCATCTCGCCGGCACGATCGACACCGCACCCAACACCGCACATCACCACCTCACCACCGTCAATAGTGCCAAATCCACCACCTCCCCAACGTCGAATCCACCACCAACAGTGCAGATCTACCACACAACCTCACCCAACCACCGTTACCACCAAATCCACAAAATTGCCGCCATCGCCACAATGCTATTACCAAAACTAGAACATCGCGGCATATCTAGTACCAGAACGCGGTCGCAGATCCGAACCTTCATGGAGGATGAAATCCTGTAAATCGGAACATCGAGTCTCCCCAGCATCGTCGTGTGGAGCTTCTCCATCTTGTGGCGTACTGCGCCAAGGTCTTGGGAATGGATGCGTCGGAGAAGCGGTTGTGCGCAGAGAAGAGAGAAGAGTGCGGAGAGAAGAGAGTGAGGAGAAAGAACACGGTGAGACGAGAGAAGATGATGAAAATATTTTGATTGTGGTTTGGGTAATTATATTATGGTGAGTTTGGGTAATTATATTTATAATATATATAATTATAATGTATCTAATTAAAAAATATCTTATTTTTGAAAATTAAAAGTTCAGATCTGATTTTAGAATATAAATCTTGAAAAGTGGGGAATTGTGTAATTTCCACTTAATATAAATCATTTTAATCATTTTCAACTCTCTTTCCTATGCACACGGAATAAATTATGGTATATTCACTTGGGTATGTCATAGATGAGATCTGCTAGTTGAAACTTGCGTTTTTCAAGAAATGATGGAAAAAAGAACCTTATGGAATTATTTTTTTGAAGCAGGCCGTTTTTATTTTGTTCAATTTGACATGAGTTTTTTGATTTTGTGTTATAAAGGAATATTTGGATCATCAATATGTACAATCGCAAAAATTACTAGATGATAGCAAACCAGAATTTGTGGTTGAAGTGGTTTCATTACACCCATAATTATAGATTAATACATACATACATACATACATACAAACATACATACAAATCCACACACATACATACGGATCTGGTAATGGTGGCGGTGGCGGTGGCGGTGGCGATGGTGGATAAGAGGTGTGTGGTGGTGGTAGGTGGTATGGGTTTTGATTTTGTTTGGTTTCCGGATTGGGGGTGGAGGTGAGGAAAGAAGATGAAATAAATCGTTCTAATTGTTTTATGAAATAAAATATAAAATTACTAGATGATAGCAAACCAGAATTTGTGGTTGAAGTGGTTTCATTACAGCCATAATTATAGATTAATACATACATACAGGTCTACACACATACATACGGATCTAGTAACGGTGGCGGTGGTGGATAAGGTGTGTGTGGTGGTGGTAGGTGGTATGGGTTTTGATTTTGTTTGGTTTCCAGATTGGAGTGGAGGTGAGGAAAGAAGATGAAATAAATCGTTTTAATTGTTTTATGAAATAAAATATAAAATTACTATTTTACCTTTCTTGAAATCATTAAAAATGTAGGCAAACATAATTTTCTGGTCAACTAACAGAAAAGGGGATGAATTCCATCCATTTGTCCTTCAATTGCACGTACTTGAAAGGTTTGAGATCACCGGTACAATAAATGAAAGATTAAGGTAAAATCTGCAAAAAATTGAAAGATTTGGGATTGTGACTGCAATTTTTCCCTACCTTTTATGTAGATAGCTCTATGGTAGATGTCTTGACTAGTATATTAATGAAATTATAATATATCGGACTTCTTTCAATTTGTCGGTCCTAATTCAGTATTCACAATTTTACATTGAAGATCAAACGTTTGGTGCTCTTTGTGAAAAATCAATGTATTTTTATGTCATTCTTTATGTTCGTTATATTTATCGTACACGATGCATAAATTTGGCATCAGAACATAGTCACAATCCTAGTAGAAATGGATATTGTTTGTGTGAAATTCGATGACAAAAGGTGTATTTTGTGACGGAACCCTTTTGCCCTATTTGACCTACGGAAGTAGTTGATCATTGATTTGGGTGAATATTTTCGATGCTCATCTAGTTTTTTTACGAAGAGAGTGATCCATGTTTGGATTTGAGTGACGACATATGTGATGACCCACCGATATTTGATGAGGAGCACGATAACGATATAAAGCTCTCCGGTGGCCCAAGAAATCAAAGGTCAGTTAAAAGTTTAGCTTGAATGATCACTGGGCATTATTTAAATCAATTCAATTGCTAGGAGTTAGGTGGAAATTTAGAAGTCGTTGACCAAAATAATTCCACGCTAAAATTACAAGATGCCTACTACGGAGAACAAATGAGATTTGTGATCGAAAATATATTTCTGCATTTTCACATGCTGACGAAACGGACTATTAGAGGAGATTTATGTTACGCCCTTTGGTGCCTGATCTATTCAATAGAGGATACGAGTCTATTTGATTGCCATTCAAAATCTTAAATTTATCAAAAAAACCCTCTATGCAACCTTAGATTTAAACCTTACATAAATAATCTTCATCGACCGAGGAATATTATGTAGTGAGCCGCTTGGCGATTGCTCCACCTACGAGCCAAGCTTGTAAATCTTCGTGCAAGTCGCTCGCCTACTCGCATAAGTTAGCGAGCTGGACGGGCCCGAATAAGCACTATTATATCTTAAAATAAAGTTCTTGATTATTTTTAATAAAATAAAAAAATCTACTGTACATTTAAAATTGATGTATATAAAAGAATGCGTTTCAATTAAGTCCACGTTAAGGTGTAGATTAAAATGAAATTTTAGTAAATTTTATAAAAGTTGATAAAACGTGCAGTTGAAAATTTGCGAGTCTGTATTTAAAATAAATTGTTGAATTTGACTTGAATTTTTCATAATATTTTAATCTATGCCAAATAGTGACTAAAATGACTATTTTGATTAAATAAAAATTACCATATTGACTCCATTCCTTAGATAGTGCACACATCATTCTCAACTCTCTTTAGCCTTTTGTCACCTTTATCCCTCCACTTTTGATTTACAACTGGAATACAATATCACAAGTACCTGATAGTACAATTTTCTTTTCTTTAATTTTATTTTGCTTAGTTCATTTGAAATTCATCAAATCACCCAATAATTTGGTATCAAATATTACTTTTATAAAGTCTTTTAGAATAATAAAATTAGGACTATAATAATTTTTATTTATTTTATCAAATTATTGGTAGAACCTAACAGATTGTTAAGAGCCATAGCCACCACCTCCAAAAAATTAACAATTATATCTGCATTTTTTTCTCAAGCAGCGGAACCGTCGGTGTTGTGTTTTCACGTGCCAGCCAGCAAATTCATTGACGTTATGGCTTGCCTAACCACTGTTATATAATGTTTTTATATTAGGAAAAATAAATAAATAAATAAATGTTACCACCAGCTGGCAATGGTTGTTATGTGTGAACAATGGCAATTTACATACTTTAGAGTTTGCTTGGTCGATTTGGGTGCACTAAGGGTGGTACGGTTTGGTTTGCTTGGTCGATTCTCAGATAATAACTAATTGAAACAAATGGTAAGAACCATTTTGAAAATAGAATTTTCGAGTTCAAGATTTGCAGATACAAGAAGTTAAACACCTTGTGCAGTTTATACCATTTGATTAAAAAGAATATTGAACAGAAACTGAGAGATACATAAAACTTGAGTGTTTGCTCTTTTTTGCTCGATATCGTCAAAATCACTAGTGTCGAACATGTCTTCGAATTGACACAGTGTTTGTAGATAACTTGAGACTTGTCGTACGAGACAAAGATTACAAGACTTGAAAAATCTCATAAAAGAATAAGATTCAATTTATTCATCGAATAAAGCCAAAGAGTCATATACAAATAATCTTAAAAACAAATGATCCTCTAAAATCCAATGTAGTACAACAAAATGAACAATCACAACGAATATATCATAGAGAGAAAGAAGGGAGAAGAGAGAAAATAAAGACAAGGGGGAAAGGAAAATTACTAGTAAACCCAACAAATGGATAAAATAAATCTCATCCGTCCAAACAAGCACTGATCTATGCCCCCGACAAACATCCACGTGTCGAAAATTACATCAAAGCCACAGCAGCAAGTGTTGCAGCAAGAACGGTGCCACCGATGGCAGCTCTCTGGACGAAACCGGCGTTGGAGCCATCAGATGGTGGCTGATCAGCGGAGGGTCCGGGTGTGGGTCCGGAAGGGGTAGGTGCAGTTGGTGAAGCAGCGCCTGGTGCAGTTGATGGGGCTGGAGTTTCACCGCCGGGTGATGGGGTAGGGCTGGTCCCTGGGGCTGGAGATGGGGAGGACGGAGCAGGAGATGGAGATGGAGATGGAGATGGTGTAGCAGTGGGTGGCGCCACCGAGGGTGCTGGTGTGGGTGTGGCGGTGGGTGAAACCTTGGGTGCACCAGCTGGTGCTTGTGCCATGCATGCGGTGGCGAAGAGTGCTAAAAGGATGGTTACCTTAAACCCTAACGATGGAGCCATTGTTGCCGGAGAAAGAAAGCTTTTTTTCTTTATAATGAATTAGAAAGACTGGTGAGTGCTCGAGATTTTTTAACTTTGAAGGTGGGCAAAAGTGAGCGTAAAGTGAAGAATATATAAAAGAGGAGAGAGGGAGAGGGAGAGATGCGATGTCGATAAATGATAAGATTCCTTGGAAGGGTTCTATAATTAAATCAGCTAATACAGACATGGATGTGTTTTCGTGCTTCCATGTCTATTTAAATTAATGAAATATTTGTACTGCTAAATTAATTTAAATCAATAAAAATAAATTAGTTGCTAGTTTACACGTTTAATTTTAGAGTAACTCTATTTGTATAAACTTGTGATGATTTTTCTATTTTCACGAGAGTCTGTCTCATATTCATATATTTAATAATTAGCTTTATCAATTCATCTTATATCGCTTATCACATTACATGATGATCATCCATACCTTGTACATATATCATTATTCTTAATTTTAAGGGCGTGTAAACGAAATTGTACTTCAATAATCAAACTCTCCAAATCGTTTAAGGTTTCATCCAATCTAAAACAAACAATTACGCAATCTATCATCAGTGGTTTATGTGACGTGAGCTCTTGATTTGTTAATAAGTAAAGTTATAATGCGCATTTTAGTTCATCGAATAATGAATTGAAGGGATCTTTGATGATAGATAGTATTACTCATTTTAAACCTAAAAAAAAAAAAATTGAACCCCAATGATGGTAATTTTCCCCGCCCCGCCCCGTCCCGTCCCGCCCCGCCCCGCCCCGCCCCGCCCCTAGAGCATCGTGAAGAAGGTAAATCGCGGGATGTGCCTCAACAGGTTAGGGTACAAGAGCTATCATACTTGTGCCCACAAATAGTCAAATTTCATACCTTGTAAGAGGTAAGAATCGAACCCTCACATTGCGGCTGCCGACTTAGCTGAGACTACCTCACTTCTGCCCTTTGCACCACTGAGCTATGCCCGGAGGCTAGTCATTCTAAACCTATGTATTACAGAATGTGGTTATTGGTATATTGAATATCAAGAATGATTGAATTTGTAGTTAAGAGTCAATGGTTTTTAATATTTTATTATTTATCAAATTCTTTTTTGCATTCACTTTGATAACTCTTTTTCAACAAGAAGAAAGAGAGAACAAAAAACAAAAGTCGGAATGATTCTAGTATAAATGAGCTGTATTTGTTAGAAGCTTCGTCACACTTTCATAACGGAGGAAAAAGGCAAAAAAGGAAGGACAAGAGGAAACCTTTACGGTGGAATTTCTTTATTTTGTTACAACTTGAAAGTCGTGTAACCGCGTAGAAAAAATCAGCACGGAGTTATTTTCGTATGGTTGGTAAGATGTCATTATCCTTCTTACCAGAATGTGTATATGCTTGGTCGATCACGATCTTTTGATTAACCAAAAAAAAAAATAAAAATGAAATTTGACATGATTGATAGCTTTTCATATTTTTCACATCAACCCACCAAATTAATGTACGATCGAAGTTTGTTCTAAATATTATTTCGACACGTGTTTCATACATAATACTAGACAAGTTCAACAACAGAACGAGATTTTGAATTCTTTCTTTCTTAATATTGACTACTAGTTGTTATTCATATATCCTAAAGCCATACAAATAGCGACCTCGGATGACTGCACACTTGGTGTGTTATGGTAGAGATGTTAGATTGAAGAGCCAACCCCCCGAGCGAGAATCTGAGTTGAAGATGTAAGCTTTTTATGGATCTACCAATCGAATTATCGAAACCTAATGTCACGAGATCAATTGGTTGAGCATACTCAATGATCTGAATATTAAAATATGTGACGTGTCATAGTAATAAAGAACAATCTTGTTTATGATTAGAATGATAGGGCTCTCATACCTACTACCATCCTCGTGTCATCTACAAAAATCAAGTAAACAAAATCAAATAAATAAATTATAACTGATTAAATAATGGGAACATACCACGTAAGTATTTTAGGGTGCCTTTTAGTCACCACATTACCTCCTTTTACTTGGAGATGTGCCCTGGGGGCGAGATGTCATTATCCTTCTTACCAGAATGTGTATATGCTTGGTCGATCACGATCTTTTGATTAACCAAAAAAAAAAAAAGAAATTTGACATGATTGATAGCTTTTCATATTTTTCAAATCAACCTACCAAATTAATGTACGATCGAAGTTTGTTCTAATATTATTTCGACACGTGTTTCATATATAATACTAGACAAGTTCAACAACAGAACGAGATTTTGAATTCTTTCTTTCTTAATATTGACTACTAGCTGTTATTTATATATCCTAAAGCCATACAAATAGCAACCTCGGATGATTGTGCACTTGGTGTGTTATGGTAGAGATGTTAGATTGAAGAGCCAACCCCCCGAGCGAGAATCTGAGTTGAAGATGTAAGCTTTTTATGGATCTACCAATCAAATTATCGAAACCTAATGTCACGAGATCAATTGGTTGAGCATACTCAATGATCTGAATATTAAAATATGTGACGTGTCATAATAATAAAGAACAATCTTGTTTATGATTAGAATGATAGGGCTCTCATACCTACTACCATCCTCATGTCATCTACAAAAATCAAGTAAACAAAATCAAATAAATAAATTATAACTGATTAAATAATGGGAACATACCACGTAAGTATTTTAGGGTGCATTTTAGTCACCACATTACCTCCTTTCTAGTAGTCGAGGAGTATGACACGAACTATTGTCCAAATTAAGCATTATTTTCCGTTTGAATCATTGACAAAGAGTATCGGACGAGATACAAATATTATTTAGCAATTTGCATCAAATCTATGACAAGAAAAGTCTCCATCGAGAAATCTTTCTTTACATCCTTAGCCAGATTGTCAAATGTTATCCACTCTCACAGAAAATTCTAGGCTGCAATCGAACCATAATCCCCAATTCTTCTTTGAGACAATTGTTAGGTGCCCATTTGATAATTTATTATCTATTAATGACTTATTCCTTTTGCACAAATAATTTAAGTGATAGTGGAGACAGAGTGTTTTGACAAAGAAAGGGTTAACAAATTGTCTTTTGGAGGTTTATTAATTAGCTGTATTATAGCCGTTAGTTGATAGATAATTGGGGAGAGAGAAAATACATTTAACTAATCCATCTCTATTAGAGGGAAAAAAAAAATCTTCGTTTTTCTTGGAATATTATTCATGTTTGGTAATGATTAAAATTTAAGTTTTAATTTAAGTCAAAGTCAATAATTTATTTTAATTACATATTTTATGAGTTTCGTAACTTTCACCACACATTTCAAATTTATTTATCGAAATCTATTAAAAAATTAATTTTAGTCTCCACCAAACAGAGACATTATTTGACAAATTTAAGAATGAAATAAATATACAAATAAATGAAGTTAAAGAACCTCTAAGAAATTTCACTACGGTAAGACTATATATTTGCGTTACAATATTTATTTACTTTGGCCACCTCATTTGCTTTCAATTTCTAGCACTGAACAAGCGAAAGTATTTAAACACGGTTATCTGCAAAAACTTGCAAAAAAATTTAAATTTTGATAATTTTATTTAGGGGTGGATATTTAATCGAAACTGAACCTCCGGCTCTGATCCAGTTTCAAAAAAATAAATTAGGAAACAAGAATCAATTGGATCTCGAATGGTTCTTGATTCTTGAATCAGAACCGCAAATAACAGAATTTTTTTATTTTTTTTGTAAGTGTTTTATTTTTTATAATTTATTCACTCCGACTCAATAATTCGGTCAATAAGTAAAAAATTTGCAAAATCCAGCAAGTAGTAAGTTTTCAAGGCACAAGTAGTAGTATCTTAATAAATCATATTCATTTATTTTAGTAATTGAATCATATAACTCTCATTCGTAGTTAATCTTGATCGCACGCTTCCCATCAAAACAAACATTTCTTGAGGCTCCGCACTAAAAGTAACAACTGGAATTGGATGCTATTGTGTTTGATTGCATTTTACAGTGGATTACGGAAGTGTTGAAATATGTATTTTGTGGCTTATTTTATTTCTTTATTTATGCTAGATATTGACAAGATAATTTGTATTATCAGCTTATAAATTTTTTAAATAATGTTATCGGTAGAATTGAATCGGAGTTAGAACCGATGGTTTGGGTTCTAGTTCGGGTCCGGATTTAGGTTTGGGTCCAATTTTAGTAATTTCATCCATTCAAACGGTTCCATTTAGGAAATACTCAAACTGTAATGAACAACTCCAAATAATGAAATACTTGGACCGGTTCATCGATGCACAGGCCTAATTCTATTGTCAAATTCTACTCAATGCCACATTAAATATGTCATAATCTAAATATCATATTGTAATGTATCCATATATATAAATGTGATATATCCTACTCATTACGCAGTCAGCAACATTTGTTTTAAAACGTTGAGACAATGACAGGAAAACATCAAGAATTATAAACCACCTTGTAATTTTATTTATTTATTAAATTATTTTAAGATATAATGTCTAAGAAAGTTATAAACGTGACCAATAAACTTTTAGTATCATTTTTTGAATTTACAGTGGACTGTCAACTATACAAATCAAGCCAAAAGCAATGAGCCTAATATGCAATATCGAAAATCTTAGTTGTTATTTTTCTTTCGAAAAAAAAAAATTACACTGAAAGCAGCCAATGTTTTTGAAATAACTTTTAAAAAAATAACTGTAAAGACAACATTTGAAATCCCTAGTTTCGAGCAACTGGTCATTGGCTATGCCTTTGCATTCCTCGATAAGTACATTCTAATTCACATCAAGGTATTTCTTTGCCCTTATTGTGTAATCCATACATTGTTCTCGTGTCTTTACGCAAATGAATTGAAAGATATATAACAACTGCAAGTCTTGTATTCAATAGAATACACCATATTCAAGCATAAGTTGTCTTGTCGTTGTTCTTGTTTAATCAATATTCAATATAATTATCAATGTTTTTTAA